AAAAACGTACGGAAAGTGGAATAATAATAATAAAGAGAAACAGAAAAACAATAAGTGGGAATGCATAAGCATTCCCACTTGATAATAATAAAGAGAAACAGAAAAACAATAAGTGGGAATGCATAAGCATTCCCACTTGATTAAACCAAAAAAATATGTAAAAATCCTAAATTCTGAATGTATATTGACCTAATAATATATAGAATTTTAATTAAACCTAATTGAATAGAAATTTCATGTCATGCAGCTCTCTTAATGTATTCGATTCCTTTTTCCTGTTTTTCATTTCATGCTTTTCTGGGCCCCCATGAAAACACGCTGGCGCCCTCGTGGCCCCCTGGTACATTTGGTCTAGAACCGCCCCTGCTCATATACTGTATGAGAGTTTTATTTGCTCTGAAAAGCAAATAAAACTGAAATCCCAGGAAATAAGCGATATATGACGTTATTTGGGATGGAACCATCAAAAAGCAACAAGAGCAGCTTTAGATAACAAGCCTCTCCAAGTTAGAACTGAGAAAAAAGAAACAAAACACGGGATAGCTACGCCTGTAGGCGCATCCTATGTGAAAATATATTCATAAATATTAATCGGACATATATATAAGGTTAGAAAAGTGAACACATTTAATAGAATTTCAGTTTACGTGCTCATTATTCCCATCATCAACCGATACCCGTTCATTTCTGTGTAAATTCCAACACAAGTTTCCAAAATAACGTTAAAATAAAAATACTATTTAAACAATTCAATTATAAAACAATACCCGACACATTAAACTGGCAGATACGATGTTTTCTTCAGCTCTCTCTACATGTGGAGGTTGTTTAATACCAACCTCCAGCAGGCCGAGCAGGGGGCTTTCCCCCTCTCCCCGAACCCAAAGCGTTTCAGATCGGCCCCACTCACCACGAGCTGCCGAACAGGAGACCCTCTCCGCTCCCTAACGGTTGGTGGAGGAATCAAGTTTACTGAGCTTTGGTGGACGCCTTTATCTCCGACTGACAGAAGCAGGGATGTGGTGAAGACATAAAAAGGCTGTCTCTATTTCCTTTGACACCGGACTGATTCACACTCTCACACCCTCACTAGAAAACAGTCAGCGGAATAAAAAACCGCCAGCAGTTAGCGGATTACCAGAAACTCTCTCCCTCTCTCTCTCACGCCCTCTATTCTCTCTATTCCGAGCTCCTCTTTTCTTTTTTTTTCTCGCCCTTTTAGAAAGATGCGTAAAGGACGCATCTGTATGGAAGACCAACTCTGCCATATTAAACAACAAAAAAAAGACTCCATAAATAAATAAGCAAACAATTAATTGTATGAATCTACAGGAGGAGAGGAGAGTGTGAAGTCGAGTCTGAAGTCAGTGGCCGTTTCTCAATTCATATGAATGCGAGTTAGGACCAACTCTGCCATATTTAAAAATAAATGCATAAATAAATAAATGTTCAATAAATAATTAAGCATACAATTAATTACCCCCAAAAATACAATAAACAAATAAATGTACCGGTAGGTAGAAATTAAATTATACAGTGAGACATAAATGTAGATCTCTTTGTAATAATGACCTTATTTATTTGTTGTCCGTTATAATCTTCAACTTTATTTGTTATTTGCTTTTTAAGCATTTATTTAAGTGCATGTTATAATATTTTTGTTTGTTTTATTCTGTATTTGCATTTTTTACCCTCTCTTTTTCTTCAACGCTATTTATTTCTGCCTGTCATATTTACATTTCTGTTTGCATTTGTGCCACCTTATGCAAATGAGGAAGGGTGTGTCTAAGGCTACGTTCACACTGCAGGCCTTAATGCTCAATTCCGATGTTTTTTTGTGAAATCGTATTTTTTTGCGTGTCCGTTCACACTTCCAAGTATATGCGACTTGTATGTGATCTACTGTGTGAACTGAAAGCGTTCAAC